TTCCGCACAGGCTAACACTCAAATGTCAGACTAGAACAGTTAATTACCATCGTTACCTCACTTCAGTGCCCATATAATGCACAAACGCTTCTATTTTCGGCTTACAAAACAAATATTAGGTACCTACACTAAATATAGTACCCATGCTAACATTTTATAGGAGGTATTCTAGTGTTATGTACATTATATCATTTATAACGTTGCAAAGATTAACGACTTATATACAATCAATGTACGTAATATAAGAGTTGAGGAGAATCTTCTTTTAATTGGATATTTATGTATTTTTCCGACCTAATTACTAAACTGGCTATTGCCGGACGTCCTGTTCGAAATACTAGACCAAATAATTTCTCTGAGTGTCTAATCGCGGTATACTTTACATTATTGACCTGGGCCGGACGAGACAGCTCTGCAAAATATCGGCATACATATACTTCGTTTACTTTCTGTAGCGATGTGACCTTCAGTTTTATCGGCGCAAAGTAGAAAAGAACAGCACTAGACCAGAAATGGAAGGAGACAACTCTCGGCCAAACTCTTAGCCGGTGAGGAGCGTATAATCCGTACAGTACTGCACGGAAAAATTGACCATTTTATCCACTACAATTGCATTGCTCAAATGTGCTGTTATTGGTACCATTTACTACTGAAAATATCAACGAGATGTTTATTTATATTTGAAGACATATTAAAGGCTTTAAAGCTTGTTTTCGACTCGCACTACTATTCATAATTGAACAAAATTTTTGGCAGGTACTGTATGAAAAAATATGTTTAATGAACAAGAGGCGAGAGTATAATGAGCTTTTTTTTCCCTACCTACGATTTTGCCAGCGGGCATCCTAAACATTGGAAGGGGCACATCGCTAGAGAATGTAAATGAAGTACACATTTTCTCTACTACAGACACGTACTTACAAGCAACATTCAACTCATTTTATTGGTACCGTAAAATTATTTCTATCAAAAATTGATATTTTCAGTAAGAAGATTATGGACAAATTTGCTTCTTTGAAAAATCGTAAGATTTAATGGATTTTCAAAAAGCAGATGTGTAAAATTCCCACCTTATTTCAAAACAGAATTCCAATGATCCTAAACACTGTTAGTTTTAATCTTGTAAGTTTTTGAAGTGAAAATTTTTCGAGATAGTGTTAGTCAGTGTAAGGATAACTACAAACAATTATTTCAGTCCAAACGCTGTCAGTTTTTAGCTTTCTTTTATTGTAGGTACCCCTACGTAAGTAATGAACTTGTTGATAAGAAGGGAGGGAAAATAAACCGCGAAAATATGCGATCATTAAGACGGAAGTTGTCAAGAGGTGTGAATCTTGCCTCCGAATTCGGATGAATTGGCTTTTCTACGCGAATTTGGAGAGTTAAATTTAGCGTAGCCTCTTGCTTAATATGCATTCTGTTTTCTCGCGGAAAATTACGCAGAGTGCCGCTTCCTTGTATCTAATTAAACCGTTCTCGAGCTGGCAACCGAACGAATTAAATAAGAGAAACAAAACTGGGTATCTACGTAACTCTCAAGCAATTTGATACACAGTCCTGAGATGACTTCAAGGAGCTTCAAACGTCGTGCAATAAAAGCAAATAGATAATCCTATTGCATTATTATTAATTTCAACAGTTTCTGTACTTTTAAAATGTTTGTTTGATGTTTTCTTTTTTCTTTATAGAAACTCTCGTTTTTTAAATTTTCAAAATTCAATAAAAAGTACTGTTTTCGACCATAATGTAGTTAATGAATAGTCAATAGTTTCATTTGGGCTTGAGACTTATTCGACACCTTGTACCTTTCTCAAGCCAGTACCCATGTAGAAAAAATGCAATGCTCTTTAAATAACCAGCTCGAAATACAACAAAACAATCAAATATTACTTTAATTACTGACTAAAAACAACACAATTTAGACGGTTGTACCAGATCTTGGTGGTTTTTTAATGTCGTTGAAAATATGACGTATGCGTATGCAACCAATTATGCACCCGAATACAGACCCGTCAAGTTTTTCAAATTGATCGTTTCTACGTCGAAATTTCTGGTTTTTAATTGTGTTTTACAAATTACAAATCCAACACGATCTGTAGAAAAAGAACTACTGCCTTTAAAAACCTACTTGTGCAGGTTTCTTTTATTGCATCCGACGTGGTACATCATCCTTACATGATATAAAGTGATTTCTTCAGTTATGCCTTCTGCATCAAGGCATTCAAGGAGCTACACGTAGTTTCACCGAGCTGATCTATCTCCTTGTTTATATTATCGTCTGAGAAACTACGACGCATGCCGTCTTTCATGAGATGTCTTTTGGTTTTATGTATTCATCATCAGCATAAATTCCTTCTTCCCACAACAACCGAATGAATTCTTCGTATAATCAGGAAGACATACAGTTACGAGCTCATATCAAGCGACCGTAGGGAAGTAGCGTAAAACATAAAACCGGAAGTAAAAACAATATAAATTGGCCTGTCGACTGTAAAATACACAAACGCTATACATATATCTGCAAATAAACGCACACATACAAATCGACAGAAGCATATTACGTATTATTCCTGCAAAACTTTTAGCATACATACGTATATTGCAAACGCGGATACTAATTTGAAAACCAAGAAGTCTGTTTTTTTAAGTAAGAGGTGACGATAAGTGCCGAATTTGACACCATCTTGTACGATGCGAAATATCCATATAAGGTTCAAAAATGTATTACAACTTTTTAAACATTGGTCTTCAGAAAACGGATATTGAGAAAAACAAAGTGACGATAATACTGGGCCCAGGTGGCATAAATGTGGGGCGGCAAAAATGTTTTCTTCGATATTAGACAAATTTCGCCACACAGTAATGTTAAATATTCCAATTTCTTAGTATTCGTACCAGTTTTAAGTAATTTGAACATTTTAGCAAGACATTATCGTTTTAAAAGAAAATATACAAATTATTGTAGATTTGTCTTAATATTTGTCCTTGAATAATTGATGTTCTAGGGTGAGCCAGGAAGATTCTAGGTAGGTCTGGATCACCTGGACTCCCCCTTTGCCACCCTAATACCAGCCAATTTAAATAAAAAGTCTACATAATGGTGAAAATAGGAAGGGCGTTAATTTTAGGCTTCGCCACTGAACTGGGCGATTATCAAATTAAACAATCCACTATTCTAAAAATTGAAAATAATCAACTAATTATCGATTGATATATTATTCGATTAATCGAATAAATTGCCCAGCCCTCGGGCACCTTATCTACTTATTAAAATGAATTAGATTTTATTTTTAGTTTATTCAAAGATCTTAAATGTTTCTAAGCTTAAATGGTGAAACACCTTATTCTTATACGAGGGTGCGTTTTTAAGTTCGCGGAATGGGTAGGTAGGTCATTAGTGAGGGTACTTATTCGAGTCATTACGAATTAAGCAACCCATTATTAGTATAAATACCAAGTTTTATCCTAATTAGGTAGTAGTCTTTGAACTATCATCGATGAAGCACGTCAATCGGGAAGAAATTGTGAAATATGAATAAAATCTAGTACTGCACTGTTATACAGTTCCTTACCAAGCAAGGAAAATCAGTTGAAACCATACTGGACGAGATGACAACCGTTTAAAAGATAAAGATGGAGCATTGACTCGAATTAATAATGGGGACGAAACTTGGGTTCATCATTATGAATCTGAGTCCAAACAGTGACACAAAAAGGCCCACCACCACCCAAAAAGTGTAAGGTGTCACAATCATGGCGACAGTCTTTTGGGACTCACAAGGGATCCTGTTGATAGATTATAAAAATAAAGGTGTCTCCATAACCAGATAAGGTAAATGTCTAGATGATGGCCCCCACCCCTGAAGGGGGTGGGGATAGGTGGGATTGAAAGAGGAGGTCTCCCCCACCACTGTACCATAAAAAGTTCGTGGCGCTCTCATCCCCATAAAAACTTATGGGGGTTAGATGGGGGTGGGGTAGGAGAATCGAAGGAGGGTAGGGGGAGTCGAAAGAGGGTGGTCATCTGAATAAAACCCCATAAAAAGTTTGCAGCGGTCTCACCCCCATAAAAAGTTATGAGAGTTGAAAGTTGATTATTTTAACAATTTTCATACACTATAATTCAAATAAAATTCACTAAAATAATTATTTTCAAGCGGGTGGAGGTGGGGGATCGAAAGAGGGTGGTCACTTGAACAAAACCCGATAACCTAACCTAACCTACCCTATTGATAAAGATATTTAAATAATGTTTTATATAACTTTCTCAATATTTTTATGTATTTTTCATTAGTTGTACCTTTGAATATTGTTTAAGAATGACTATATAAATATTTACATGCCTAGAAATATATAAAAATTGGCATATTTATTAACTTTTAACCCCTATAACTTTTTATGGGGGTGAGACCGCCACGACCTTTTTATGGTACAGTGGTGGGGTAGACCTCCTCTTTCGATCCCTCCCATCCCCACCCCCTTCGGGGCCATCATCTAGACATTTAGCCCACAGAACACTATGCTTCAATGCTGGAGCGTTTAAAGGAAGCAGTCAAAGAAAAAAGAAGAGGAAAATTGACCAAAGATCCTCCTTTTTCACGACAACGCGCCTGTTCACAAGAACCGTGTTATGACGGCTGCCCTGCAGAAGAGATCGGCTTCGCAATTTTGACTCACCGACCCTACCGTCCTAACCTAGCTTCCAGCGATTAGCACGTATTCTCAGACTTGAAAAAAAGGCATCGTGGGAATAAATTTTCAACCGAAGTGAAGGATGCAGTTTCGGAGTATTACACAAAATTTCGAAGGTTAATTGGATGATTGGAAAAGTGTATAAGGTAGCAGGTGAATATATTGAAAAGGAAAAATAAATTCGTACTTTTATTTCCACGTCTTACTCCTCATTTCGCGAACTTAAAAACGCCCCCTCGTAAGTTGGTTCTTATACATTTCCGCCTAATGATGTTTTAGCCATTTCACGTAGAGGTCGTTTGTTTCAGGTGACACGGGTATGGTGGCTTCGTGACGGAATAAGGTTAGCGAGCAACGCCAGTGCAGGAATTCTCGTCGCCAACCAGACGCTTGTGTTACAGGTAAGCAGAAAATGGAACGAAAAGGGATAGAAGGACGGGAAAACATACACGACGATGCCATTCTCTATTCCACACCACAACGTGTACTAACATACTACATCAACGCAATTAATTAAACAAAACAGGACCCAACAGTTCATAGCTTTCAGTTTTACATAAACCTTTGCATGCATGTGGTTAACTACTATTTATAATCCTAACAACTAAACCCTCTTAAAAGCAAAGGGAAATTTGATACAGTAAAATCTTCAATTTTCTTGGTTAACTTGTCCCTCTAATACATCGTCACACTCTGTTACATTGTTGACAATAAATCGAAGGCTTTCGCGAATATTTTATAACGCTGGCTGTTTCACAATAACAACAATAATCCTTTAATACGAAAGACTCGAAGCACGAAAAGGATAACTTTATTGTGAAAATAAACACATGATTCTCTTCTCAGGGTAAACGTACAGGGTTTCCTATAAATAACTACTATTAAGCATAATACCACGAATTTAGACAGGCTAGGTTAGGCACTCATCACAATTCATTTTTGTATTTTTATTTCCTGATGGATGGTTTCTATTTCTAATAAAAATTGATAGCTTAAAGGTGCTGTTATAGACACGTTTACTGTTTGCTTTTATGAAGAATCGCAGGATTGACATCATCATCATCAGCATCATCATAAGGTCGTCAGTCCTAAGACTAGTTGGACACGCACCTCCACTCTTTCCTAGCTTGAGCTAATCTTCGCATTTCCCTAAAACTAGAACAGTAATCTAATCTAGGTCTTCCTAATTCCCGTTTCTTCCTCTAATATGTCTCTGACTAGACCTTCATGCCTGAGAAGGTGTCCTACCAACCTATATCGCATATTTCTTATTTACTTTCATAGAGTCCTCTGTTCTCCTATTATTTCTAATACCTCTTCATTTCTAACCTTCTCTATCTACAGTATCCTCATCATTCGCCTGTAACACCACATTTCGATCGATTCTACCCTTTTCTTTTCCACCGCGCCCACTGTCCATGTTTCGCACCCATACAGCCCCGTGCTCCTCTTATACACTTTTAACAATCTTTAGAATTTCTAAATTAACCGTTCGCGAGCATAAAAGTGACTTCTTTTATTGAATGCGACTTGACCCTGAGCTATCCTCTGCTTTATATCCCTACTACTGCTTCAGTCCTAACCCATCTAACTTCCTAGATACCTAAAATCAGCCACTTCTTCTAATCTTTCGTTTCCTATCTTTATATTCCCATATCTTTGCATTCGCTCTTTCCTTACTTTTTCACTTGCATACCAGTATTTTTTGACGACATGACTTTATAAAAATAGGTGAATAAGTGTAGTTCGTAGACTTTCACGGCCGGTGTCTAATTGATGATCAAGAGCTTCTTGGCTATTCTGTCGTGTTTCAATTCTGATTGCAGACGTTTCGCCATGCTTAATAGATTGCATCTTCAATAATGAATTCAACCGCCAATCGTACATCCTAAAACACCAAAGATGCCAAGAAGTCCATCCTTAGACAAAAATTCCAGTCTGGCAGAGTCTTTCAGCGTCTCTGAGAGCGTCTCTCACAATCTTTCACATTTTCTCAGTTATTGCCTAGGTGTTTTTATGGATCTCTCACAGTCTCTGTATGAGAGACTCGAACGATAAAATTGTTAATTCAGAGATTCGAGTCTCTCACAGAGAGACTGAATGAATAAAACTGAAAAATTGAGACTCGAGTCTCTCGTAGAAAGACTGGGATCTCTGAAATATGTTGAACTTGAAAATTTTAACCATGTCTATCGAGACCACTTATTAAGAGATTCGAGTCTCTCGTTCAGAGAGTGGATTCGAAATGAGGATCTCTCTATGAGCGACTCGAGTCTCTCGTTCAGACACGCTAAACAGTTTTTTTGACAGTCTCTCTCAGCGACAACAGAGAAACTCGATGAGAGACGGAAACTCGAGTCTCGCTTTCAGAGACTTTAAGAGACTGAACATTTTTATCTCGGGATAAGCTTTTCATTATCAATCAGGTGAATAACTCTTTGCATAACACCCTCTTCCTTTTATCACGAACCGCCACTGGACGATATGTAACTGAGAATTGTGATTTGGAAAACAGATTAGAAAATTTCTCTTAGGTGCACTTGAGTTTACAATACTCTGGACGAAATAAATAACTCTTCTCTGCTTGTGACCCCAGGCACATTTTCGCAGAGAAACAACTGCACCGTGAACATTTGCCTTCCGTCATATTTTATGGGAAACCCCGGCTGACACTCTTTGCAATTTAAAACGAATTAGTCAGATTTATATCTACTTAACTGGATTTAGTTGCATTAAACGTACTTTATATCAGTTTGAAAAGATGTTTTCATATTAAAGGGATTTACCTTGGTGAATCGGTAAATCCCAGGCTAATTTTTACACGGTTATGAATCAAAAACTGTCGCCTTACAAGGAAATTTTAGTAAAATGATTATGAAAGTAATAATAACTATTTTTAACGGTTTATTGGCATAAATAATATTTTGAGGAACTATCAATGTAAAACTGGGACAACAGTCAAGAATATTGTAATGTTCGCGGATTTAACAAAATTAACTTCTACTACTGATAACGACAAAACTATTTATTTTCACTAATTATTGAAGAACTTAAAAACACTATTAAATTATTACTAAACTTAGGTCATGAATTATTCTATTTATTTACACCACTGTTGATATATCACTATTCACTGCACTATTTATTTCACTGCTATCACTGTCAATTTATTTCTGGATTCACTTCTGCAACGGTCATTTTATTTCTCCTCCTCTCGGCGATCGTCTCTTCTTTTAAATACTCTTTTGTTTACCTTCTGGAACCTTCTGGAAACATTCGGAAAAAGGCACCCGCGGCTAGTCGGCGAATCGATAAGCCGTTCACGCACACGTGTGCCCGATCGTACACAAACACACTCGTGCTCGCTACAATATATCGATCTCGTTTTTCTTTTCTTTTATGTAAATAGGTAATTCAAAGGGTACATTTTCATAATTCACGTTTTTAACATGTGTCACCGGACATCTAAGCAGAAATCTTTTCCGAAGGGGGAAAATCTCAATATTGAGGAGTGGCTCTATTTTAGCGTTAAGTTAATTTGTAGCCTACATTTATACGTGGGGCACAACGTTCACCGAACAATTACCTACATGTAGGCTACAAATTAATTTAAAAAAGGAACCACTAGTCAATAATAAGACTTTCCTCTTTTTCTTTCATGTTAAAAACGCGAATATTGGGTTTAATTAAACTTAAATTACGAAAATATTCTCCTTGAATTTAATGGAATTATATAAAAAAATTAGTTTACACACAAACAATCTCAAAATCCGAAATCGTATTTTGAATTATAAAAGCCATGGCGATTAAATATCTGGGCGCATTTTTATGGTACGTTGGTTAGAATTGTGTTATATTATTTATGATTATACAGAATTCGCTAATCGTAAAGGAACAATACTTGCTTTGTGTTCAATTTTTATTTGGAGGCTGCTTTTTAAATCGATTTTGTATTTACATGAAAGAAAGCTTATTGTTCATGGACGTTAGGTTTCTGAAAAAAAAACTCCTCCAGTGCTCAATCGCCGTGTAATAAAAAAAATTGTGTGGGTTTGTAATATGAAAGGATTAATGAAAAAGGAAAATTTGTTCACGAAAAGGAGATTTTAATTTTAAAAAAGGCGACCGTATATGTATATAAAATCGATGACAGAAACACGTATTAATAGCACACACCGATTCGATTACATTTTCTTATAACACATAGTAATCATTTATACAGGATGAACCATTCCAACGAATCATTGTTTTCTAAAGAAGAGGTAATTAGTTATGAGCAAAATGGTAAGGTTCAGGGTTCAAAAAGGCTCATCCATCATGGAGTGAAGAAACTCTTGGGTGTTTCATTCCCACCAGCCAATAATGCTGGCGGGCGGGCAGTCCCTCCGGATTACGCCGGAAGGTAGGGCGGAAGGCCCTCCTTCAGCCTGCTTTCGGGAATCGTGAGAATGGGTGGGTGGTGGTTCGGGTGAGAAAGATGAGACGGACGAAATGAGGACAGAAGAGAATGAAAGATTATCTGTGGAATATTACTGCCCCAGCATTTGCCTAAGTGATCCAAGGAAACAGGAAACCACAGAAAAACTTGGACCAAGGCAGACCGACCCGGAATCGAACCGGCGTCCTCCCGAATGCTAAGCAATGGTCTTAAGCTCTTGGCCATGCCTCTCGGCTGAAAGGACTGAGAGATCTTACGTTTAAATAGTAGCAGTAGTAGTTAAAGTGTCAAATTGACAAAGAAGGGCTATCTGGCGTTAAATAATCAATTAGCCATACAGAATAAACCTACAGCCGACTACAAAAATCTAACAACTATTCTTGCAGAACTTAAAGAGTTGTAGTCAATGGTGATTCTATGACTTTAACAGCTTTTCAGATTATCTGAAACTTAACATTCAATTTTCTTACATCTCTTTCTGACATCAGCAACGAATGAAGCAGAAAATTTCTTATAAAAGTACATAATTATATTTCCTATTGAATTATTGGACCCATTAACCATTTCTAGCTTAAAATATCTTTTTAATGTAAAAAAATTCATAGAACATAATTTCACTTCAAAACATGAAGTTAGGTATATGATATTAGAAATACGTGAAGTCATAATAAGAAGATTGAAAATTAATTTGCGATCTACTCTTTAAAGATGTCAGACACAGCCGGGGTCATCATTAGAAGCCACCCTTTAAACCAGCGGTGGTCCTTGCAGACCACTTTGGAAATAAATCATGACTCCATGTTTTTACTCCCGGCTTCGATCGCATTGATGTCTTAAATGCATGTCATCGAAAATACATAATAAATTTGTTCGTAAGTCCTGACTGAGATTAGCAGGATTTATAATTTTATGAGTTAAACATTTACTTTACGTAGAATGACAGTCAATAGTGTCCTTTATCGAGATAAAAGGAAATTCTTCTATCCCTCGAGAACAATATTGCTTCTCTGAGTGAAAGAGTGGAGGTACGTGTCCAACCAGTCTTAGGACAGACGACCTTATGATGATGATGGGTAAAAGATACCCTACGTCCTTTTCTGTACCCCTGATTATGTGTGAACAACAAACAAAGTCACTTTCGTATTTATAATATCAATTAGGAAATACCTATCTCCACATATGATTTAGACCCACTATAGACGTTTTTTTTAATTCATAACTGTAAACTCATTAATAAAACAGGCAATACTAGTCATATATTCACAGGAATATTGTTTTAAAAACAAAGTTTAATTTTTTCTCATAATTTCGACAATTTTTTAATATTAATTTGTTGTCTCACCCTCGCCGGGAATGGAACCCGGGACCTTTGGCTTTGCGCTCCAATGCTCTGACTATTAAGCTACAACAACAAACAACGACTAACCATACTTAGGTCACACATCATCATCAGCGTAAAGCCAAAAGTTCCAGGTTCTTTTCCCGGTGAAGGCAT